AAATTATCTAAATTTTGTACCAGTAATCTATGCAACGGACTGGAACGAAAATCGCGCTCGGCCCACGATCTAAATGGTTCAACTGGCCCAGCTAGACCAGTAAAATTCAACTGGTATAACCGGTCCAGTTGTGGACCAGGCCTGGATCAGTTAGCCCATTTTTATTTCCAGGGTTACCAATTAGCTTTAACTGGTTCATCAACTGGACCCGTTGCAACTTGTCCCCCCCCCCCCCCCCCCCCCCGCACCTTTAATACCAAACTGCTTCCGGCGCGCCTGGACGTGATTATGAAGGATCCAAAACACGATGGTCAGGAACGGGATGAAAACGTCATTATTTTGGTTCATTTATCGTGTAACATTTGCGTAATTATTGAGTTGAAGGTGGGTTACAGTATCATATTTCATCTTCGACGTAAATTTCACGTGAATGAAGAACATGATCCATCCCAAGTCAGCCTCTTAATATTCACTTGAATTTCATTAACGCTTCACGTGTTTCTGTGACGCGGTTCTAAAACTTCTAAAGAATGTGATAATTCCGTTTATGAAGATGTAATTTAATAACTAAACAAAAACGGGAGTATTAGGTTTACAAATCATGGTCTCCAAGGTAGGGATAGTCACGTTATTATAATTCATTGCATTTTCCCCCGGTCCCCAACATAAACAATTCCTCTGTAGGGCAATGCATTACGGGTCAAGGCATGCCCACATAGAGAATTTTTTATCTTAGGGGTCGGGGCAAAATTCAATGAATTATTGAAAAATTATTGATTTTTTTTGGTTGTATTTCTGGGGGCGGCGACGTAGCCTAGCCCCCGCTGCGTACAGTCTTGGTTCAGTGGCTAAGCAATGGCCTCGTTACTGTGAGCCCCCAGGATCAAAACCGTGTCGATATGCTTAATTAGTGCCCTTTTATGAGGCATTATTCCTCATTACTGTCAGTTATGACTGAAGGACGTAGGTCCCCTTGTAGATTAGCATAGTAGCAAAGACATGCTTTAGCAGACACGCAAAACAAACACTCAAAAATTATTATTCAATAAAATCTAAAAATGTATACTATTATCTAGATCTAGTAGGAATAAATCATTGTTAAAATCCTTCCATAAATCGGGGTAAAAAAAAAAAATTATTCCACCATTATGACCAACAGTGTATATTGCAGTGACAATTGCGTGATTTAGTGTACCTGTGTTTAAGTGACCTAGTGCACGAAACGTGTTAACACAATCACCTACATGTCAAGTGTTTGAAGTACGTAAATTTGTTCAAGTCGATACCTTGATATAGACGTGATTTCCACGTGAACTCTGTTATTGGGAGCTAGCTAAGGAAAAATCAATAACTGTTGATTTACCGCTTGAAATTGATAAGGAACGACACTTCTTAGATTGTTAAGCCCTTACTACTGAGTAGTTTGTCTACTTCTTGAACAAGTTTTTGATGATACCTTTTATTTCCAGTTATCAGGTTGAAGTCATCGGCATACGGGGTAGGTATTACTTTTTTGGCCGGCGAAATCGTAACCATATTGCTGCTTCTTGGTTTCAAGATATTCAATAATTGAGTTGAAACACATGAGAAATACAATTGGGGGGGGGGGGGGGTAGAGGGTCTCCCTGTAAAAAAAAAAAAACTTTCTTGAAAGCATAGCGTTCCGATTGCAATCAGGATTGCATACTCTGCCACTCAGTCTTTAGTAGAGAACATTGATGTAACGGGCTACTTGTTAACAAAATATGAATCAAAACAAGACGAATGCGACTGCGTCTCCTATATATGACTGCGCCTTAAACTCAGAATAGGAAATGGATGGAATTGTTCGTGACATGTCGGGATGAAAACAAAAAAGCCTATCTCTGGTGGTTATTGAGATGTCAACATAGCAAATTGAAAACAAATTATTTCAGAAATTAACCTCTGTGACCTTTAATCTTTGAACCCAAAATCTCATCTGATCATTTTCCTATGGTTTGAGCTTCGTATCTCTTGTGGTTCTTGAGATATCGCGATAACAAGGCTATATCTAGAATTTCAGAAATTGACCTCTGTGTCTTTTTACCTTTCATCCCAATATCTGATTAGATTGTCCTCATATGGTAATACATATTACCACCAGGTTTTAGCCTCATATCTCTGGTGGTTCTGAAGATTTTGCAATAACGAGGCTAATAGCTGGAAGTTTATAAGTTAACCTCTGTGACCTTTGACCTAGCTTCACCAAAATCAAATCAAGCTCTCTTCATATAGTGATACATAATATCACCAAGTTTAAGCCTCATATCTCTTTGATTTGTAGTTCTTGAGATATCGCGATAACGAGGCCAACATATTGCTCCGGTTGTCTCATTTTCGCTCGCTGGACGTATATAGCAGACGACAATCGGTGGATTAGACGACACTTGGTAGTGAATTTGTATGTGAGATTGCTTTGCTTAATTTAAAATACAAGAACATTTTCCATATCTTCAAACTATCATTGATATCTGATAATTAAACAGTTATTAAAATAAAGCTACCAAACTACATAATACAATGAAATACTTGACTTAAAGTAGGGGAGTTTGATGTGGTGCCAGTTGCACCCTTCTTTTACTAAATAGAAAAATTACGGTGGGGGTTGGATGAAATGGACATAATAAACCAAGCAGAAGTGATCTATGATAATTCATGCTTCTTATCCTTCGTGTGCTTGACCTATAATCTTATAATCGCTTGGCAAACTGAGTCCAAAGTTCGACTTGTTTCACATGTGTTATATAGGCAATGGCGAGCTTGCAACCTATGTTGATCAAATTACGGTGGGTGAACTTTCAAAAGTCAATGGGACATGAGGGTTCCAATGAAAGAGTAAGTGATAACGTACGTCGGAGTTGATGTGCTTTTCGTTTAAACAAAAAATGATTTTTTTTTTTTTTTTTTTTTAAACGATTTTTGGGGGTGTAAAATTCCATAGGCTAACATGTTAGGCTGCTGACTCTGACGATAGGGGGCGTTATCAAATGAGACTAAACGGAGCTATATGTACATTGAATTTCATACGTTGATCTCTGTTACCTTAGACCTTGACCTAGTTACTTCAAAATCTAATCAGAATTGTCTTACTATGGGGAGATATAACACCTTTATTAAAATTTGAAGTTCATATCTCAAGTGGTTTTTGAGATATCGCGTTAACGAGAAAACGGGACGGACGGATGGACAACCCGAAAACATATTGCTTCCGGCACTACCTTCAATGGGCGATGCAAAGTGGGCCAGGGAAGAACCAAACTGCGCCAAAACTCTTTTTGTTGTGATTTTTTTGTTTCTTGCCCAGCTGAAAGGTTATATATATATATATGTTTTTGAATGCTTTTTTGTATGATTGTATGTTTGATGTCAACATGCATTTTTAATCTTTGGACTTTTTGACAAGTCGTGAATAAAACCTAATTTGAAAAAAGAAGAAAAAATGCTGGATATTCCATCAGAGTAAAAAAAACTACATATCAGTAACTATGAATTAAATTAATATGTATATTAACCATCAGAGCATCGTTCCAAGAAACCGTCGTGCAAGATCGCTGACATCCCATTGAAACGCGTATATTTAACCATAATAAGGCCAGGGGTATTCTGCCCCCCCCCCCCCCTCTGCAATTGTTCTGATTGTTCGGGAACGCATACGGATGGCGCCCCGTGACCTTTTGTCTTTGCATGTCAGCTCGAAAATCGCTCATTTTCGTGATTTGTGTACAAAACATTTGGAAATCTAATTTTTCCAAAAAAAAACCCAGATAAGACATTGGTTTATAGTTTGGGTTTTTATTTTTGGGTTTAAAATAGATGAATTATAGTTATAATTAAAATAAAACAACACAAACAATGAAATACATAACAAATTGTCAAATCAATATATAACATAAGGAATAAAGCTGCTCTCCCAATTTTCGTTTTGATATTATTATTCCAAATGGTTTAAATAATATATGTAGTGAAAACTAATGTTTGAATATGAAGAATATATCATTTATGGGTAAAATTGTGAATTGTATGACCTTATTTGCATAAATTACCATAAATATGCAAATGAGTGCATTTTTCAAAAAAAATTAATTTAATATTGTATTCTATACACTTCACTGGACATGCTTGCACATTTTCGCGGCGATCGGCCGTTTCAAGGGCGAGATCTTAAGGGGGCCATAATGCCCCTCACCGGCCGTATTAAGACCTCAAATAGCCCGGCCTTTTTAGGGTTTTAGGCCCGGTCCCACTGCACTTACGGATGCAAAGAGGATGTTTAACGTAAAGAATCTTGCCATCCGTTAGAAAACGCTATGCATCCGTTGTGTATTCATTGCATACGTGTTTCATACGCTCTATCCATCGAGCATCCGTCCACTGTGAATTCATCCGCGCAAAAAGTTTTGAGCTTCACAAAACTTTTAGAACGGATGAACTTCCGCCGTGTACGATGTAAATCCACGACATATACGAGCAACAAACGTTCTATGTCCGTTATCATCCGTTAAACGTCCGCTGTATCCTCTCTGCATCCTCTGGGCATCATCGCAAATCACATCCGCTGCAGCTGAAAACGGAAAGAGGGAGGAAAGATAAGGTACATGGAACGTCTATACATCGTTAGTAGCACGGAAATAGAAAGGATGTAAGCGTATGCATCTCGTATATTATAAAGTATTCAAAGCTGTCATCCACTTCCATTCGCTTTCATCCGCTAGGCTTCCGATGAACGTCCGTTTAACATCCGCGCTACATACTATCCACGTCCGTTATTTTCCGTTCTGTTTTCGCAAATTTTCGCAAATTTTGTCCATTTCTAGAGCGGATGGAAACGGATGGAACCACCCCCGAAATTTTGCTCGTCCACTGTCTCCTTTATGCATACGTTTTGCGTCCATCGGCCAGTGGGACCGGGCCATAAGATCGAGATACGTTTCAATAAGATGTCAGTGAACATGTATTTATGACGGCTTCGTGAATCGATGCCTATAGGTTCGCGGGTCTACTGGTGTGACGATGGGACCAATAAAATCGAGTCCGTCGACCTCTGGGGCAACGACAGAATGGTTCATCTGGCGACATCGATTGCTCCTTGGGACCTAGCAGTCGTCGACGACAGTATACTATGGACGGATACGACTAAAGATGCAATTGGTGTAACATCAACCGACAGTAGCAGCGGTTACAGTTTTTACTACCGCAGCACTTTCAAAGATCTACGCGGCATACATGTGTATCGAGGTTTGTATCTGATTCGAATTTCGAATACACCGTCATTAAAGTGACAGATCCAGGAGGGGGGCATGGGGGAATTTTAAGAATACATTGACCCATACTCTATTTAAGATCTAAATCCAATTTTGTTTATGATATGATGCATCAACTATAATGAAGGTAATCCGAGGTCTACCTTTTTCCTTCGTTAAACGTGATCCTTAACCCGGGGTCGGATTTTTAATTAAATATGTAAAGGATGGACCGTTGATCGCAAATAGAAAACTAGAATAAATTATTTACACCCTATAAATATCTCTCTTAAATTTGAATATGAATTCCATCGTGAAAGCTATCATAATTATTTTGATTCAATATAAAAATACAATTTCAAAAGTTTGAATAGAAAATTGCCTTTTGCTCCGTCGTGTTTCATTCTTTCCTGTCATCATAATTCGCAGAAGAAATACCAACAACAACGGAAGTCAACCCTACTACTCACCAAGCTAATACTGGTGAGTTTTTGTCTGATTTTTCTGCTTTTATTGAAAATAAGTTATTTTTCGAGTGGACTTGTCCTTTAATTTGTTTCATTTGGGCAAGAGAATAATGATTAAAGATTCGTGTTTGTTGACGACTTAATTACGTATTTTAAAAAATCTGAAATATTTTGTCGATATTCGTGTTTTCCTTTTTTAAATGACATAATTAAGACTTCAACAAATCTGAATTATTGTTTGCCAAATTCCTGAGGTCATGAGCTTTCCGCTGAAGTAAATATAGTTATAGTTTAATAGAATGGTTGCTTTAAAGGCGTAGTAATTTCGTATAAACCCCACATAGAGAGTTTGGAAACTCAATCTTGATCGATCACATCTCTCTTGCCCCCGCCAATGTTTTGTTTTTTTTCTTCAAAATCCCGCTGCATATGTGTTGAAAAAGATTCCAAGCTTTTATGTCTTCCACAGTTCGTCTCGTGAATGGTAACGAAACACACGAAGGAAGAGTAGAGGTATTCCACAACGGATCTTGGGGAACCGTCTGTGACGACTATTGGGGCATAGAGGACGCACGTGTGGTCTGCAGAAGTCTAGGCTACCGGGATGCCCTCAGTGCCCCGAGCCAGGCACGCTTCGGCCAGGGTAGTGGTCCGATCTGGATGGATGACGTCAATTGCTGGGGCAATGAGACACACATTTTCGACTGCCCGCATTACGGTTTCGGAAATCACGACTGCGGCCATGGGGACGATGCCAGTGTTGTCTGCTTGCCTAATCGTAAACACACATGATTTTTTTTGTTTTGTTCGATGTCTGTTTGTTTGTTTTTATTCAATAGTGGCACTGCCCCCTGAACCCGTTGCACACGAGGCGCTATAGAGCACCGAAGCTGTAACATCATAAAAATCTTTTCTTATAGGCACGTGCTTTCATTCGACACTTCAACAAAATGTCATAAAGTCTTGAGCAGAGCCTAACTCAGTCTCTGGTTTTCTCAAATAAGTCATCAGCACTACAGTACAGGGCATATTGACTACAGTATCTGTATAGGCTCCTTGCTCGGACCCTCGACCATGCATTCCGACCAGGTTTTGTGCTCGCAAATTACTCGTTGCACACGCGGCGTCAGTGATTAGTGATGCAGGACTGTGTCAGAGAGAGGTTCGGTTTTCAACGCACCATGTTAGAGTGACATCGCGCTGAAAATGAATTGCAAAATGAGCAGCAGCACACACTCACAAACAAAATGGTTGAATAACCGTGATAATATTGACCCCTTGCCTGCACAATTTCCATTACCACAGTTAATCAAATATAATAAGGAAATTACACCATTCAGCAGACAAATCAACGTAATGTTTTCTTAGATTCAAATTGTGTACGATAACCGTCTCACGTGAAAACTACGAATTATTTATTTGTTGGTGGCGGGTTGTCATATGAACTGAACATATTTTTACCGTGCATTGAACGTTCAATACATTTTTGTATTTTCACTCTAGAGAGATGATTCTGTTGAAAAAAATGAGGTAAAACACAATGTATAAAACATTACTGATGCAGATTTAAGGAAGAAATTAAGATATAATTAGCCCCTTGAAAATGGACTCTGGCCATGTAAGGTCCATAAATTGCAAGAGCACTTAGATCATATTTTGATCATGCATGCATTTGATATCTTCTCGCAGAGGCAGACCTGACTTGTGACAGCGTTTCGATGACCCTCATTATGGACAGAACCCTTCTCGAGATCAGCGAAGACGCCCGCGATGTCCATTTCAAAGACGAGTCTTGTGTTGGATACGATCACGACAGTGAGCATGTTGCGATCACCACCATGTACGACAGATGTGGTACTACGCAAGAGGTATGGTCAATAGGTCTTTATGTACCCTTGATACATCACAAAAATACTACTTGATAATGATTACAGACTTTTACAGTAATTCCTTTCATGAAACGTAGTTCCATTCTTTCTGCTCTTAGAAGATTATTTCCCATCAGTAATAGATGCATCTGGAGACACACATGTCTAACATCTGTATCATAATGACTATATTTTGGCTAGATAAATTACACAGTGTGGTTCTGATCAAAGTATCTTTTTAGGTCCATCTATCAGGGTCCAAGACCCAAGGTTGTTTTCTTTGTTTTTAATATTGAAGCCGTCTATCAGGCCGAATGAATTTCTTTCCTCTTTTTCAAAATCAGGGTATTCTAGGCCCAAAGGCTCGACGAAGGTTGGGGCGTAAACCCTAAAAAAGACAACCGATGTATGGGTGGCAATAAAGACCAAAGACGATCAGACAGATATTTTTTCTTTGTCGTTATTCGTACTCTATTTCTATTATTCCAATTTTCGACGTTTTGGTAGACGATAGTAAATCAGAAGATTATATTATTGTTGAGGTTTTATATTACTTTCGGCCTTGTATAAGTGTTATAGTATACTAGATATAGTAGGTGGTTTTTGGACCACTAGGTACGGGTGAGAGTCCCTTTCATAGCACTAATGTCTTTTGGAAAACCCATTTATTCTGCATTTGCACCTCTTCAGTCAGATGGTTACCCAGTACAAAAATGAATTATTCGTTTCTTATCAAAATTATTGTCAACACTTATATCATTATCATCATCATCATCATCATCATCGGTAGAATAGCTAAAAGTGTACCTGTTCTTAGAAATACGGTAGACTGTTACTTTTTGATCCCCATAACAGTTTCTCTAATAACAGTTTCCTTAAATGTGCCCTTGCCCCCCCCCCCCCCCCACCGATCGATACCCGCAGCAACACGACAACTACATACTGTTTACCAACATGGTGACGCATTACAAGCCTCGCCCTGAAAATGGAACCAATGAGCTACTTACCAGAGAACACTATCTTCATATCCCTGTTACTTGCTACCTGGAGAGGTCACGGGTCTTGGGAGAGTCCTTCTTGCCTGAAGCAAATCTGTATCTTTTCGAAGAGGTGAGGATTCAATTAATTGGTAGCTTAAGTAAAGTGAATTCTGGTAGGAGCGACGTTGGGTGGAGATGTCGTGGAATAGTGGTGCATTCACTTGGCTATCAATCTGAGTGTTGAGGGTTCTAATCCCAGCTCGGCACTAAATTCCTTTTGCAAGAACAGTATAAAATCATGTTTAATAGCCAGGAGCACCACAGTGTGTGGACATTTGGGCTGAATAGAATTACCGGAGTGTGACGTTATACTGGCGAAGTTGTGAACGTTGCTGGCTCCAAACCAATGTTGCGCTAAACTGTGGTTATCACATCAGCCCCAAACACAGAATTCTCTCTACTCAAGCCCGTTGCTTGAATGATTTTGCTTTGAACCTCGTGTACAGTCTCTGGTGTTTAGAACCAGTCACCTGGACGACTACGGATTAGGAATTAGCACTTCAGTACTCTATCAGAATACACCATTGCTATGTTATTATTATTATTATTGTTATCAATATTATTACTATTATAATTATTTATATTTTCATAATTATTATTGTTTAGGCTCTTGACTCTCATATAAGAGGTCCAAGGTTCGCCCCTTGCTGAGTGCTTACACCCTTGAACAGGGATATTAGGCCACATTAACTTTGTCACTTTAGATCTAGGTTTATTAAATGGATATTAAATAATTTAATAATAATAAATGTAGGACCCGTAGAAAGAGCAGTGGCTACCATGGGCAAATGACACCAACGTCTATACAAACATCCTCCATAAGTAACAAAAACAGTCAGATGTCGTCCGGACTCACCTTGGTTTGGTGATGAACTTAAACGCAGGCCTTTCTCCTTTTGTGCTCAAAATCGACCGTCAGAATTTCAGAAAGACATGGGCGTCAATCAGGGGGAGACAATTTGTTAGGGTGGGGGACACAATAGGGTACTCCCTTCCCCCTCCCCCCAACAAAAAATACAAAATAAATACAAAATAAATACAAAAATGAAAGTCTTGTATTTTGTATAAAAGGCTCTATAGACCCAACTTCTTAAGATATTGCCCTGGAGCAAAAAAATCCGCCCAAAATTAGGATTTTTATCAAGGCAAACAAGGGGACGTCGACTTTTCCAGTTCTCTGGTTGGAGGAAACCAGTATAAGTATAAATCATGAAAATGTTAATTTTGATAAACTATTTATATACAAATCAAATATTATGAATATACATTATTCAAATAATAGTATCAATACTTCAAAGTTCATAAAATATTTTGTGAAATATCATGCACGCAATATGATACAAATCATAAAACCCGGGCAAAGGCAGGGGGGAATCAAGTTTTGGGGGATAAAAAGGGAAATTAATGAGATTTTTTGCTGGCCTTCCTCATTAATACCTACTTCCCCTTCAGATAATTCAGAATGCTGCTGCAAGGCTTGTTTAATACTTTCTCCAGAATATTTGAGCACATAACCCCAATATTGCGTTCTCTTCATTGGCTTCCCATTCACCATCGTATAACATTTTAAGTTCTTCTTCTGACATACAAAATTCTCCATGGCCAAGCCCCTAAATATCTTTCAGATTTGATTTCCTTACGTTCTTCTAGTTCTTTAAGACCTCTTCAATCACCATCGACCTTGCAGTTAACCCTTGGACCTCGTACCGTTACAAATATGGCCATCGAGCCTTTTTAGTAAATGCCCCTATCCTTTGGAATAATTTACCAGCGCATATTCATAATACTCATTCTCTTGACGAGTTTAAGTCCTTGCTGAAAACGCACCTTTTTAATTCATGAATGATATTCTGCAGTTGTGAGTCGGTCAAAGAGGGTGCACACCATCTTATTCCTTGTTTGTTTGATCTTATGCTTGATCTTATGTCTGGCCTTATGTTTGATTAAGATGAAATCGAAATTAAGGCAGCTATCAAAATATGTAGAAATCTTGGGGTTACCTTTGATAACAAGCTCTCTTTTGAAAGCACAAAAGTGTAGCTCAGCTTCATTTGCACAACTTTTTATTGATAGATGTACAACAGAACGTTTGACATTCTATTGGGGAAATGAGTAAGGTAAAACCGGTCACTCAAAGATTTTTACTTTTTTGAGGCACTTCATAATCTGAAGCGCAATTGTGTTAGGGCTTCAATATGACACCATATCACAGACACTGATAACACGAAGGGCCATGCATCTCAGATTTTACATTGTTAAACGATGCCTTTAAGGAACATGATTCAATATCCCCTGTTTTCAGAAATGTACATTGGTTACCAGTCCGGTCTCGCATCCAGTTAAAAATATTGTTATTAGCTTATAAATGTTTTTATGAATTAGCTCCCTCTTGGTTAAATGAATAACTCAATTTTTATAAACCAGTGAGAAATCTTCGATCATGTAAAATAATATATTTGTTGTTCCTCCTATTTTGACAAACACATATGGTGACCGTTGATTTGCCCATGCTGCCCAAGTTTTATGAAATAGTCTCCCAGACTCTCTTAGAAACTTTGCCACAATAGATAAGTTTAAGCCACCCTGAAAACATATTTAATTCAATTGTTAATCACAAGTAAAAGGAACTCATTACCCTATTTTTCTCTTTGCTTTTCAATCTAAGTGCATAACGATTTACTTTTTAATGTGTTTTGCCCTTTATATAAATGGATTCATTTATGTTATTATTATTATCATGTATTTGTATTTCTTTTGTTTTCAACATTTCATTAAGGGTTTAGTTCTGATAAAGGTCGGAAGTACATTGCGAATTCTCTCTTGGTATGTCACATGAAAATGATTGCTGTAGAATTTATATCATATTTGAAATTATGTTAGTTTATATATCTCGACCAAACTTTGATGTCCCTTTTGTGTCCCATATACCCATGTCTGTCTTTGACACACGTATACATCGAATGATCGAAATATATATCTGTCAATGTGTACTCACCATCTAGGTAGGGTACGGAGAGTTCTCGCTAAACCTTGACCGGTATACAAACCCAGGCTTCCACCAACCTGCCAACGATTCCGGCAAAGTTACCCTCGGCAAACCGCTATACTTCGGCGTCCGTCTGACGTCCGTCACGAACCTTACGCTTCTCATCGAGTCGTGCTGGGCAACGGGGTCGCCGGACCCAAGGGACGACCACCGCTATGATATCATCGAGAATGGGTGGATTTTTCTTTTCTACCTTTGCTTACTCGGTTTTTAATCTGATCCTGTTTCTTGATTAAAATGTACAGAATGAGGCTTAGCTACACTATATTTTCTATGGATTCGGTTTTCTCTCTTTCTTGTTGCTAATGATTTCTTCTTCTTTTTTGCTTTTTTTTCCTCTCGTTTGTTGTTGTTATTTTGTTGGTGTTTTTTTTTTGGGTGGTCGCAGATTTGTGCATTTCATTCACAAAGTAAGATCAGTGCACCTCCTCTTATGAATGGACATACACTGTGTCGTTCCTAAGGGACGGACTGGCGATGGGGGTCTGGGAAATTGCAACCTACCGGCCGCTCGATATGATGCCTTGAGGGTCGGTCGAGTTGTGCTCTGATGGTCGGTTTATATAAATCCTAGAGGTTGAGTTGGCCTGTCGCATCAAAATTCTCAAACAAATTTCAGTCCTAATCTGCTCCTGCATTACCCTAAAGCTTTAAAATTGCACGACGTAAATCATTATGACAGCCAATTTATTTTGTATACATGTTTTTGTGATTTTTTAGATGTGCCGTGGACAGCACAACAGTCATCTTCAATTGGGCCTCTCCAACTTTCAAGGGATTTAGTATTGATGCTTTCGCCTTCATTGGCGATTACGACAAGGTGAGTGTCAACAACGGCCCTTTGTACCCCTCGTATCCGTTGCACCCGCTGCGTCATCTTTGACTTACCCCCTGTCCACACACAACATTTTCCGTGATTAGCTATACCGTTTCGCGATAGTGATCCCGTTTCGCGATAGTTTTACGATGAAAATTGTAGGTGTGGACGCTCACTAACGATACGTCGTATAACGAAACTAGTCTAACGGAACGCATCGTTTCGAACTGAAACTCGATAAAGAATCACGCCTAATCACGGACATTTTGTGTGTGGACGGAACTAGTCTAACTGGGCGGGGCTTAACGTGACCTCGAGCGAAAGGAGATATGAGCTCTCATTTCTGCTTCCGTTTCATGACCGCTGCGCAGCCAGCTGATTATACATAAATATACTGCATGCATTGTTCCAGTGGCACAGTCAATGCAAATACTAGTACTAGTGGTGCTGCACATGTGTTTCTGTTTCGGTTTCGACTGCGCAGTAGCAAACTGCGCACCTATACGACGTTTCGTTATAGAGTTTCGGGATAACTTTTTTGTGTGCGTGGACACCCTGAAATTTATACGATGATTCTTTAGTGACGACGTTTCTTGTGTGTGGACATCCTGGAATTTATACGATGATTCTTTATACGACGTATCGTTATAGAGTTTCGGGATAAATTGTTTTGTGTGTGGACACGCTGGTAGTACTGCGTTAGTGAAATGTGCGGTCTCTGATGCGACATGTAAGAGTGACATACAGTGATTGTAAAATAAACGGTTGACTTAACTTTAGAATACCCCACCAATAGGGTTTATGTTCATGAACGTCGAAGACCTATGGTTAGGGTTAGGATTAGGTTGAGCGTTACTTAAAAATCTTAAAGTCTTCATAGTTAGCTTCATTTATGAAGCGTTAGGTAACCTACGGACGTCTGGTTGGTTTTATAAAGTTGCTCCGGACGGTGCAGACAACGAGTGCAAACGAAAGCATGTGCTACTTGACTTAAAGGTAATACAAAGTTTTGGGAAATTTTGAAAATTGGTTGGATAGTGATTCTTTACAATTTTGATATATTTGGATACCCCTGTGGATGTAGTTGTGATATATAATTTCTAAACGGGAATAGCAAATTGGTCGATTGTAGTCAAGAAACATTGTTTTATAGCTTAATTAATAGCTTGACCTTGACAGGGAGCTAAACAACAGAAAGAGTTTATTATTTACAATTGCATTACTTTAAACTCGATTTCAACCGCGACAACGATCATTGAATATTGTAGGATCGCATATGCTTCCAATATGTTCATTTAAACCAAATTCATGATCCCATACCAAAACTTTGTAATACCTCTAACAACAGACTCAATTAAAACTAGACTTTAATTCGTCACTTTGACGAATTAGGTGATACGTATGCTAATGGTTTACATAATAAAGAATGCATTACACGATATCATATTATTTCATGAAATGCTTCATCCATTAAGATTGTGTCCCCTTGATCATTATGGATCTAGGGAAGATAGATTGAAAAAATATGACCATTGACCCTGCGCAGTAACCAGTTACACCTTTGACTCTAATTTACATCATGAAGATAACATTTTGACGATTTTATCTTATTCAAAGAAATGAAAATGTAATTGATAAATGATTATCATCATTATGATAATGATGATCATGATGATCATGATGAAGATCATAATCATGAGCGGGATCCTGACATCTTATTGACAAAATGAGGGGTGATTTAGATAGCACATAGTCTTAGCTACAGCATACTCAAAAATCAACAAAATCCAAGCAGAAATAACGGCGATATTGCTCGCAAAAGACAGGAATGTAGAATCCAGATTTGAGAAAAAATTACCTCCCACAGGGATTACACGCAAAAAGTAATGGATTAAGTGAAAATAGGGAAACAATAAAGTAAATAGGGTTGTTTATTACATTATTTGCGATTCTACGTGTTCGAATAATTAAAGGACATGGTACAGTGAAAGGTCAACAAGAAAAAAAAAGTTCAGAATTTTTTTTTGGGAGACACCCGGACTCGAACCCGGGATCTCAAGGTCGGAAGTCAAGTGCGTTACCGATATACCAAAACATTTCCCATAGCGATTACACGTAAACGAAAATGGAATTCTAAAATCCCACTTTGCAAGTAAAATATGAGCATGATCCCGGCATATGATCGAAAAATGAAGTACACATTGGAGATAGCTCATTGTCTCAGCTACAACATACTCGAAGTTCACTGAAAAAAAAAGTCAAAACAACGGAGATGTTGCTCGCGAAAGACGGAAATGTAGAATGCAGTTTTGAGAAATAGTCATGTCCCATAGACAATACACGCAAAATGTGAAAAATTGACATGCCTCCTTTAATTGCAAAAATACGCCATGATACCTTTGTCAAACAGGAAAATTGTGTACACTATATTTGTAGGAAATTATCTCAGCTACAACATATCAAAATTTTGAAGAAAAAAAATCGATATTTTCAGAGATACAATCAATTTTCCAAAAATATGCAAACGTCATAATATGCAAATTTAAATTTTGAGTTCGGAGGCCATTATGATGACATCATGAGTTAATTGAGGATCAAATGAGACATGAAATCATATCTCCAACTCATGATCTATCAACATATGAAAACATATTAGGAGTTCATATCTATTCTGAAGAGTTACAATGAATTTTGTATAGGTATGTTTTTGCCCATATATTGTGGATAAAGATAACGCAGATCCGCGCGCGCTGTCAACTTTGACGGACGCTCATTGCGTTATTAAAAGGTGAACAAATTATCAAAATGCTTGGAAAAATGTGCCAAATACGCTGAAATAGAAAATTTTGCATTTCTATGTTACAAAATGCTATTGCACACAAAAAACGCGCGCGCATGCGCGTGTGCATGATTTTTTGTCAAATGCTCCATATGGCCTGAAACGTATGCAAAAAAAATTTGAGATGATTTAGAGCATTTTTAATTTTTGCGCGCACGAACGCGCCCGCGCGCATTTGCGCACGTTTATTGACCTGAAATTGACCGGACGAATATTGATCTTATTCATGATAAATATGAATGAAAAATTACTTTCCGTTATGAAGATATGATAATAAGTTGATTTTCACAAAATGGCGCCTAGATGACGTCATAATGACTTTGAGTCTTTTAAAAGTCACGCAGTTCTAAGTTAGACTAAGATCTATCATCATGGCAAGTTTCATGATAATGGCTTTATTCAGTCTTGAGATATCCTGCGAACAAATTCGAGGAAGAATAATAATAAATAAATAAACTAGACTTTAATTCGTCACTTTGACGAATTAGGTGCTATTTTGTTATCATGAAAGTGTGCCGATGATGATCTAATGATAATGATCATAAATACGATAAAGATCATGATTAAGAGTGGTATAGCGCCCCCTTCAGGTATTCGATAGAGATTTGTAGAATCAGGATTTCAGAAAAAGTCGCCTAACACGCTAACTAAGAAAATTCTGACATGTCGCCTTTAATTGAATTTTTCACTAAGATGATGTCATCGAAATGATTTTGATATTGAATTGATATCTTTATTTATACACGGTTAAAAAAACCCAAACAGTTACAAGACTGATTTCCATTGGGGCCGTGTGAAACAATGTAAATACATCGAATTAACATAAAAATGATAATGGTACATCAAATGACATATTTAAAACAAACAATAAATAATCAAGATAAATATCTAAAAATATAACGATAGAATAGTACTGCCGAAAAAGTATATTTATATGAATAACAATAATCATGAGTGTCCAAACAAGAGTACTGTAAATATACTTCAAATTAAAATAGGTAATACAAATTGTAACTAGTGCATATAAACTGCCAGAAATGATATATTAACGTAAATGATGTACGTCAATATTGTAGATAATTTATTAGCTACACCGAATCAAAATTTGGGAGAACATAGAGTACTCATAAGCTAGATAGTGCTCAAAGATCAATGTCATGAAGATTCATGATGTGAACGAAATTCACCTTCCTTAGGCATAACACGCAAATTAAGAAAATTAAGAAATGTGGCCTTTGATTGAATTTTGTACTATGATGACGTCAATGAAATAAAAAGTAGTGTGTATTTATCTTGAAGGCAATTGCCTTAACTACAAGATACCGAAATTTGGAAGAAAATCAGTCAATATTATGAGAAATACACTAAATTTTCCATAAATATAATGACGTCATAATATGCAATTTTTTATTTGGCTTTCAAGCCATTATGATGACGTCAAGATGCATTTATGGCAGTCCTTATTCATCCCGATGTACTTTTTATAGGCATGTTTTTGCCCATATATGCTATGTAATACATGACCTCGCGCGCGCGGATATTTATCTTGGACGGACGCTCATTCCGTTATTTATAGTGATAAAGAGATGAACATGGTATCAATTTGTTCGGAAAAATATGAGAAACATTCTGTCAATAATTATTGCAGAGGAATTATTTTTCGTTCGGCCGTGACGAACGAAAACGCGCAAAAATGCGTGTTTTGCGTGATTTTTTATGAAATGCTTATAATGGCCTAAAACGTATGCAAACAAAATTTGGAATGATTTTGAGCATTTTAAAAAAATTCGCGCGCGTTAACGCGCGCACGTAAGCGTACGCGCATTTTTGCGCGCATTTATTGACCTGAAATTGACCGGACGGATATTGATCTTAATCCTGATAATTATACATGAGAATTGTCTTTCCGTTATGAAGATATGATCATAAGTTGATTTTTACAAAATGGCGCCTAGATGACGTCATGATGACTTTGAGTTTTTAAAAAGTCACGCAGGTCTAAGTTAGACTAAGATCTATCATCAGTAAAAGATTCATGTTAATGGCTTTATTCAGTCTTGAGATATCCTGCGAACAAATTCGAGGAAGAATAATAATAAAAACTAGATTTTAATTCGTCACTTTGACGAATTAGGTGATACGTAAGCTATTTTTGTATCATGAA